ATGGTGGGGGGGGAAGAGGAACAAATGTAATCTGAACAATAAAGATTTAATAAAAAAAACCAAAAAAAACCAAAAAACATGCCTGCAACTATAAATGTTACCTCTTGGCATTATCCTCTTCCATTAGCCACTCAGGTATGGGAATAAACAAAGGCCAGATAATTGGTGTTTCCCAACTAAGTAAAACTGTACACTGAAGTACACAGCACAATCTATCTTCAGCACATAAGACTTGTGAACATATCCTTCCCATTCTCCCAATAAATTTTTTAAAAGTTGGAATCATTAAAAAATGTCTTATAAAACTTCTATTTCTGAAATTGAATTTAAATATAACTTAGTGACTTAATCATATCTTCAAAACTCAAGCTCATTAATATGCCAGAAAATTAAATCCTAATCACTTTTCCATGTCATCAAAATTGATGCTACCAAAGGCTGCTGTCCTGCATCCCTCTGTTCTCCAACAAATGTTTAGGTATTCATTTTGCAGGGTCTGGCTTATATAGGGCTGGATTCTTCATCCAGGTGCAGTTTGTGGAGCCATACTCTTCATTAGTGTGCTTTCTCTTGATGCATCAAGCATCCTCCCTGGCTCTTTTCCCTCCATCTTGTTTTCAGTAAACCACTTCTTTTGAACCTGTTTCGCCTCCTCTCTTGACTTCTGTTGAATAGAGGCAAGAACCCCTTCAATCGTGACAAAAGCATGAAACAGGGCTCAACCTCATTTAGTACCAAAAATATGCAAATTTAAAATCAGAATAATATATCAATTCATACCCACCAACTGGCTGAAAATGTAAAAGTCTGACAATACTAAGTGCTAATAAGGATATGAAGTAACAGGATTTGTAAATGGGTATAAACATTGGAAAGCAACTGGGCAGTGTCAGGAAGGTTGAAGATGCATATACCCTATGACCCAACAACTCTATTTTTAGTAATATACCTAGAGAAAATCCTTACATATGATACCAAGAAACAAGTCCAAGAATGTCCACATGAATATAAAAGAAAAAAAGTATATTCATACAATAAATGGCTATATAGTAGGATAAATTCACAACGTGAATGCATTTCCTCAATGTATACTGAGAGACAAGTAATAAAGTTGCAGAAGATTTCAAACAGTATGATTTTATTTACATCAAATTTTAAACAAAATAAACACATATAGTTAAGACTGTAAACAAAATCAAGGGAATGAAAACATGAAACTCAGAAGTTACCTCTGAGGGGTGGAGAAAGGCACTGGATTTTTTTTTATTTTTATTTTGAAGAATAATTAACATTCTACTTCTTAAAATGGGTGCTCAGTCATTCATCATACCTTATACATTTTCTACTATTCAATCTATACTAATAAAAGGGTAATATACTAATTAGAACAGATATCTTCCGGACGTCCTTCCGGACAAAGCCACAGTGGCAGGGGCCGAGGCAGAGGCAGTTAGGGGCGATCAGGCCGGCAGGGGAGGGCAGTTAGGGGGCAATTAGGCCAGCAGGGGAGAGCAGTTAGGGCAATCAGGCTGCAGGGGAGCAGTTAGGGGCATCAGGCCGGCAGGCAGAGGTGGTTAGGGGTGGGGAGGCAGGCAGGCGAGCGGTTAGGAGCCAGCAGTTAGGAGCCAGTGGTCCCAGTCAGGCGGGAGGCGAGCAGTTAGGAGCCAGTGGTCCTGGATTGCGACAGGGATGTCCCGGATTGGAGAGGGTGTAGGCTGGGCTGAGGGACCCGACCCCCTCCCCCGTGCATGAATTTTGTGCACCGGATCTCTAGTCCTATATAATAAAAACCCAATATGCTAAGTGTCCAGTCCAGTCGGCTCTTCAACCAATCAAAGCATAATATGCTAATGATATGCTAAGGCCTCTCAACTGCTCGCTATGATGTGCACTGACCACCAGGGAGCAGACAGTCGATTGGTTGACCAGTCGCTATGACGTGCACTGACCACCAGGGGGCAGACACTCCGACCAGTAGGTTAGCTTGCTGCTGGGGTCCAGCCGATCGGGACTCAGCGATAGGGGCCAGACACGCACTGGAGCCCTCCTGCAGTCCCTCCCCAGCTGGCCAACCTCCTGCGTCCCTCCTTGGCCCGGATTGTGCACCGGTGGGGTCCCTCGGCCTGGCCTGTGCCCTCTCACAATCCTGGACCCCTCAGGGGATGTCAAAGAGCTGGTTTCGGCCAGATGATGGAACAACCAATTGCTATGATGCTCACTGATCACCAGGGGGCAGATGCTTGATGCAGGAGCTGCCCACTGGTGGTCAGTGCGCTCCCACAGGGGGAGCACCGCTCAGCCAGAAGCCAGACTGATGGCTGGCGAGCCTCTCCCACCTCCACGGCAGTGCTAAGGATGTCCAACCGCTATCAGTCAGACATCTCCCGAGTGCTCCTGGACTGCGAGAGGGCACAGGCTGGGCTGAGGGACCCCTCAAGTGCATGAATTTTGTGCACTGGGCCTCTAGTATTTAATAAAAGCAGTTTTAAAAAACAGTTACAATACAGTGTGATAAGAACTACGACAGATGTAGAATAAGGGAATGTGATCAGAGTCACCGAGGATAATTAGGAGACTCAAGCAGGCTTCATAGAACCCAGAGATAATGGTGGTATGGTATAAGCACCTCTCTTGTATTTCTTGTGCAACAAAGACAAGAGATAGCACTGTGTATTCTGGAAACTACTAGAGGCAAATGAGAGAGGGAGCAGAGAGAGATGAGGCTGAAAAGAAGGATCACATCCTTAGATGGTTAGATTTACTTTCACAGGTGAAGGGTTTTAAGCAGGTTAAATTAGCTCCTATTACAAAGAGAAGAATCTTGCTATGGGAAATGAGTGACTTAATTAGTTTAAGGGTATGTAAAAGTTTCATGTAGCATGCAGATGATTAATTGGGGTCCAGAAAAGGAATAGGATCCCAATAAACAAAAACACTTTCAACAGTATTCCAAAGTACAGTAAACAGAGTAAGCTGAAGGTAGAGAGGGAGACTAATTGCTTCCTGTGTGTCTGAGAAGCAGGAAATTAACTTGGGTAACTGGTGAGAGATTCTGGGAAAGGAATCTGTCTAGAAGTGATGCTGGAGAAATCCAAAGGGGCCAGGATAGATATGTCTTAGATGACAGGTCATCCCTGACAGGAATAAA